AAGGCTCATATCTTAGTGAATAATTTTTTTCAGACAATGGGAGTTGGAACACATCATTAGTATGGTCAGGCAATCATATTAAGCAAATAAAAAAAATATCTCAAAAATGCACTGAAGTTACCCTTTAATGTATCCTTATCATTATTGCAATGATACTGTAGGCAATGGCAATTTATGGTCAAATGACCAAAACAGATCCTGCCCCTTCTAGTGATGATCCTTCACCACCTCCTAATGACAAACTCTCAGATTTTGAGAACATGCTTGATAAACTGAATAAAAGTATTGATGACACCCTGACACAGAGGTTTGAGTCAAGCACTGGAGGAGAGACTGTAGCTCAGTATGAAGAGAAGAAGAAACAGGAGGACACTGAGGAACCACACTTCACTCTAGCAACTTCTGGAACCAGGAACAATCCAAGAAAGACTGATGATTACTAATAATAACCAACCAATCTGTATTGTTTGTTGTTGCATTTAATGTATTCCATTTATTGCAGCATAGAGATACTGCAATTGCAGCTTGCCATGTTGTGCATTCTTCATGATATTCCTACGATAAGATCCTATAGAAATGTAATGTAAAAGGAAAACACTGTAATATGCAACTTATTAAAGGTAAAGAAGCAAAGCAGCTTTACTTTAGAGACACTTCAGTTCTGCAACAATGGAGCTAGTTTAGGTCTCTGATCTGCTGTAGTCTCTTTCCCTGGTAATGAAAATATAGCATGCATGTTCATGCTTTAGACAAGAGGATTAGATTCCTTTGTCAATCTGATGCTAATCATGCTATTTATTTTATTAATTTAATGGGTGTGGCTTACTATTATGTATATGTACATGTGACACAACATGCCCTTTATTGCTGTTCATGCTGGTACTAAACTGTTTCTTTTATGTCCCCATTTATGGTATGTGTGTGTGTGTTAATAGGTGCTGGAAAGTTCAATGAAGAAGATGTCAAAGAATTGAAGAGTGTCTGCAGACTAGCTTGTGATAAAGTGAGCAGCTGTACTTGAATTATATATGTGTATAGGTGTGGTTTTTCATAATGTAACTCTGTGGGTAGTTATAATGTCAAATTCATTGTGTATTAGAACAATGGCAGGGAGTGGGAAAAATTTTATGACCTACAACTTTTACCCGCTTAAATCCAAAAAAACCCTTTAAAATTAATTTACTTGCATCTATTTTTTATTGAACCTACGGGTAATTAGGATTGTTTATTTAAGATTGTGATTGTGATTTATTGCTTAACGTGAATAAAATAAACACATTACATCTTCTGATATCATTAAGTGTACTCTCATAGATAATAGTGATATGCATATTACTTTAAGTTATAAGTCATGAAAAGAATTATCATATAGCACTTTAATTTTGTGGAGCTAAAATTTTGAGGATTGATATGCTATGTTAGTGCCACACCTTTAGTAGCAATTGAATATTTAGCAGATCTTTAATTTTGCGGTTGCATGCTAACCCGCGAAAACAGCAAAAGTTTTACTCCTCAAAAATAAAGCACTATACGGTAGCATGTTTGTCATAGTCATACTTTATTATGCATTTTTAACCAAAAAGTTAGATAAAGTACAATATTATGTGAACAATCCTAGTATATGACCCTTGCCATTGTGCTCTGGATTTCTGAGACAGAAGTACTCATTATTAATCAACACATGTAATTATCTTGTTTACTGATTTGAGACTGTTTTACAATAACGTTTTCATATCTGCTTGAGTATACACATGTCAATAATACAAACATCCCACCTCTTCCTTACATTAAATAAAATAACATCATTAGCTGTAAACACCATCTGCTGTTTTCTTTAGCTTCAGTCCATTAAATACGGTATTGTGTATTAAATTGATTATCTCAATTATACAATGCTATTAAGATCTCTCTCTTTTTAATTTTTGTCATTCACATTTGTACTTGTGTTTTAGGCTATGGTGAAGTTAAAAGATGGTTGTGATGTTAATGAAGCTATTACTGTAGCTCTTAGTGTACTGGAGGTATGTAGCTAATAGTGGGTACTTATGGAGGGGACAAATTTTGACAATTAGCAAAGTTAACCAATAATACAATTAATAGGATTCTCCATTAACTAATTGTGGTACTGGCTCATGTCTAACTTATAAAGGAACTGTTGAATGTGATGCTAGTATAATGAATGGGAAAGGAGACTTTGCTTCTGTTGGAGCTGTTTCTGGTGTGTATATCCTTCAATCTTCCCCTAACCTCTTTTCCTTTTCTCCTTTAGGTGTCAAGAATCCAATAGTGTTAGCTCATCAGTTGTTATTAAACCAGTCAAAAGGATTAATGTCATTAGGTCGTATTCCACCAATGTAAGATACACTGTTGATATACATGTACATGATTGACAATTGGGTTGAACATTTTAGGTGTGTGTGTGGTGATGGAGCACATCAATGGGCTATCGAGAATGGAGTACCCGTTTGTAATCCTGATGATCTAATTACTGGTAATGAATATCCTATGTATGTACATGTAGTATACTATTAATATTATTAATAGAGGAAGCAAAAGAGGTATATTTGGATCATATTGAGAGATTGAGAAGAGAAGATGCAAAGGAAGGAAGTGAGCAATGTGCTGCTAAAAGAAGAAAAGTCAATGATAGCCAAGTTAGCAATGTACATATATACAGTACATGTGTGTGCATGTATGTACTGTAGCTAGTATAGCCTAGATTAATCTTCATAATATAACAGCTGTGATCATTAGTAGCTTTTAGGCACTAATACATGTGCTTTGTTTTTTATTTTCTTTGATGTCGGGACATCCATTAAAGTTGTTGTTTATTGATGTGTTAGAGTAAACTGGATACAGTTGGTGCTGTTTGTATTGATGGTAATGGATTGATAGGAGCTGGTGTATCTAGTGGAGGAATATCATTGAAACACACTGGAAGAATAGGACAAGTAATGACTAAGCTTATTACTGAAGATACAAGCACTGATTCAAGCATAAGCAAATGTCACTATATTAAAGCCCCTCGTACACTAGGCAGCATTTTGCTAGCAACATTTGTGGCTTGTAAGCATCATGTTTGCCAAGAATAGAAAGCTGTTCAACATGTTGCTTACAACATCAAAGTAACCACAGATGTTGCCTAGCGTATGTTGGGCTTAATTATATACAATTCAATCCTGTTGTTTCATAACATTCAATTCTCTAATGCGTTGAAAGCTACCAGTTGTTTACACACAAGCATTGCATTGTGTTTTGAAATGTAAAATGTCAGTGTTTGAATGGTATAGTATTAGAAAATTCACATTGCTTTTACTTATTGATACAAGTACATGGGTAACACTTTCACTGTTACAATTATAATTATTAATAGGCTGGTGTGTATGGATGTGGTTGTTGGGCCAAGAGACACAGTGACTCATCACAGATAGCATCCAGTGCATCAGGTAATGCACCCTTAGTATACTACTGGCCTGATGGTTTTATATTCACATACCATATAAGTTATTTTTGAGTAAATTATATTTCGTGAAATCTACTAAAATTCCAATTCGAAGATTTTAATTTCACAAATTTTACCACATGCCACGCGGGTACCGTATTAAATTGTTTTTTGCGGATTTTATTATATGGTAGGTGTAGGAGAATACCTCATTAAGACTCAATTAGCAAAAGAGATTACCACTTCACTGTAAGTTATACAATATGTACCTTTACTAGTGATGGTTTGTATTGTTGTAGTGTAGGTCAGTCAGTGACTATACAGGCTGCCTTCCATCAGACATTTCTTGGTTTGTAAACTTTTTTATACCTACTTAATTCCTGCATGTTCACTGCATTTTTAGACAATGTTATTCTTGCTGGATATAATACAAAAGAATCTGGAGTACTTGTGTTACATATTTCACCATCAGGTAATCATCAAAGCAGAAGCTTTTCATAACATCAAAGCACCTCTGAAAGAGGACACATTTATATTAGTGGCTTGGTGTCCATAATAAAGAGGTCCTACTGTAATTAACTAATTATTATCAACTTTCAGCATTGATTAGTTCCTCTTATTTGTTCCACAGGTTCTATTGAGCTGAGTTGGGTACATTCTACAGATGATATGGTCATTGCTTACAATTCTAATGATAAATCAAAGGTACTGTCTGTACTGAAATACTCTAAGCATAATTGTTTGTAGTCTTTTATGTCTCAGTTGGAAAGAAAGGCAATACCTGATGGGATAAGAACAACAGCTGGGTGGCTTTCATTTTAATTATTATTGTTTTTTATTATTTTTTAAAAGTTTGTATTATTAATTTGAGGTGGAGTTTCAGTTTATATTCATTGATGGAGCTGGTTTAAATTCAGGCTGTGCACTGCACAATTTGATTTTTTGGCACAATGGAGGTTTGGTTCTTCTCTCTTGTGTTAGTTTTTGGATTATCCTTTGCAAGTGCTGAAAGTAAGCAACACAGTGTATAAAAAGTAAAGCTTAATAGCATCTAATTTTGTGGTAGATACATGTAATACAACCAGTTCACCATGTGAAAGTTTTATTGGTGAACATGTAATCTTTCAATGTATACCAGAAAATGATATGGTGCAGTGGAAACTAAATGGAACTGATATCAGTAATGATACTCATTACAGTATCAATGCTACTAGTGGTACACTGACTATAAATGAAGTGAGGAGCACTGATACTGGAAACTATACTTGTGGTTCAGGAAACATTTCTTTAACAGTGAAAAGTAAATAGCATTATTTTGTATTTAGATTACTCCTCCTTTAGTACCTGATATAATTTTTACTGGTAATTACACTGGCCTCACTGTTGGTAGTAGTGTCAGTATTATCTGTACTACAGTGCCCTCCATCCCTAACAGTGAGATAAAATGGCATTCATCATCAACCAATAGTGATAGTAATGAACTGATCATTAATCCAGTGGTGCTCTCTCATAATAACAGCACATTCACTTGTGAAGTATCATCAGATTTACTGGCTATGGATTTGACAGAGTCTATTACTATTAGTGTATTAGGTTAGTTATTCATGGTATACATTAGTTATTAATGTTTATTACAGATACCAGTGTCTCATCTGTTACTGTACAATCATTATCCTCTTATGTTATTGGTGATGATGTATCAATAGTGTGTACTATTAGTCTCAATAATGCTATTGGTCCTAATGTTTCTTCACTTGTGGTGAACTGGTTTAAAAATGATGAAATGATACCAACAGATAATATCAATAGTATTAAGGTTTCATCATCAACATTTAATAGTACCCTGACATTAACAAACGTTTCATCAGCTGATGCTGGAGTATATACTTGTAATGCATCAATTAATGGATCTGATATAAAATTCAATGATTCAAAGGATTTATGTTTAAAAGGTATGTACATGTATTATTAACTCATTTATTAATTTGTTTTTGTTTGAAATTTAGTTCAAAATGTTGATAGTTACATAGACCTACCACTGGGATATAGTGCAACAATAAAGTGTGTAACTCACTCATTACTCAATAGAATTACAATAAAATGGACTGATTCAGATGGTTCTACTATCACTAACAATAATGCATTAATACTACCTAATGTGGTACCATCACTTAATAACACTGAATATACTTGTACTGCTAAAGTGGGTACAAACCCAGCAACTTGTTTACCACCAGACAACAAGAATATTAAAATTTATACTAGAAGTACGGTGACTATCAAATTAAGATATTTTTGTATTTTAAATTATATTTAGAGACTTATGTGAGCTCAATCAGCATGTCTTCTCAGTCATCATTCCTAATCAATTCAACAGTAAAGATTGAGTGTACCATTATTCTTAATACTCCTGTTGGTCCTGGTATACAACCAACTGTCACTTGGTATCATAATGTGACTGATGTTACACAGTATAGTCCATTAATGAGGAACAATGAAAGCACTGTCTTTACTTCACTACTAACTATTGATTCAATACAAGTATCTGATGCTGGAGTATATCAGTGTAATGCTGGGATTGATCCTAATGTAACTACTAAAAGCATCAGTGTATGTGTAACAGGTAATTCATTAGACAACAGTGTATTATTTACTAATACCATTCTTTATTCAGTTAATGAAACACTGCCATTAGTAACAGAAGAACTATCACTTGGTCAGTATTATTCAATTGATTGTATCACTGGACCAGTACCTACTGGAGTATCAGTATCCTGGTTTACTAATGGTTCTATTAATAGTAACAATAATACACTAATGATACCATCAGTACTACCATCACATAATAATACACAATATACTTGTACAATAATGATTGAGACTAATCCTCCTGACTGTAGTACTGAATCACAGGTCATTACTTTTAGAGTACAAGGTATAGTTATGAAACTATAATCATCAACACAATATTTGCTCTAATTCTGTAGCTACTTACATAAATTCTGTTACCATTGCTTCATCTTCAGTTACACGTTTTGTTAACTCTTCAGTACTACTGACCTGTACTATTAGTCTTAATACTGGGATAGGTCCTGATACATCATTCATTAGTCATTACTGGTATCAGTATAGCACTGATATTAGTAATAGGAGTACACAACTGATGATTAATGGTGACAGTAAGAGTCTAGTAACAACACTGACTATTGATAATGTTCAACTATCCAATGCTGGGAAATATCAGTGTAGAGCTAGTATTGATGGTCATGATACTGTTATACATAATTTTACAAACCTTTGTGTTCAAGGTTAGTCCATTATGAAAATTAAAATTTAATGAATATTTTCAATTTAGTTCCTGTGATGAATAATCTTGATGATACTAATCTAAGACTAGGTGATATCATAGAGTATGATTGTACATTAGGTTATAGATACTCAGGAGTAGATGTGCACTGGGTAAAATATGGGTCTAATAAAAGACTGAATAATCCTCTCATATTAACAGTGAATCAGTCAATCAACAATACTGTGTATATTTGTTATATACCAGTCATGATTGTAGTTGGCTGTCCTACTCAACAAGTAAATATATTAGTTACAGTAAAAGGTAGGTCAGCAAAATAATGTTTATTAACATTACCTTTTAATAGATACATTTATAAAGACAGTGGTGACTAATGTTGACTCATTAATTTTATCAAATACTTTTCAACAGTTGGAGTGTCATATTACTACTAACACTGATATTAACACTACTAACACTAATATTAGCAGTATAGTTAATGTATTGTGGTATAGAGACAACAGTAATGGGAAGAGACTAGTATCATACAATGAAAATAAAGGAGTATCTATAATACCCATTGTGTCTCTTAATGATACATCATTTAATAGTACACTGAGGTTCAATCCAATAACATCATCAACCCCAATTTCAATACTTGGTATTTACACTTGTGTAGCAATGATTAGAGAACAATCAGGTAGAAGTATAACATCAAAAGATATACGAGTTATGATGAAAAGTAAGTATTTATGTCAGTAACCTGTTTTCCTTTATGTCATTTGTTTGTAGTCAATAACACTGAAGATGTTGTTAGCATGTCTCTGAATGAATATTATACAGCTGGTTACAGTTTTAATGCAAACTGTACAATTACTGCTAATCAGTTATCGCCTCCTATTGATACTAAGGGTACTGTTAATATTATACACAATGACAGTGCTATTAGGTCAAATGTATTTGATATTGGTGCCACTGGTAGTCATAAACGATCTTTACACATTCCCTTCACTAATTTGAAATTATCACAATCGGGAGATTCATACAATTGTTCTTATATTCGTAACAGCACCAATTCATTTGTTCAAAAAAGTAATATTATATCAAATAATAATCAACTAAATATTAAAAGTGAGTTATTTATACATCCAACATCATACTTGATACTAGGTATATTTTTATATCAATGTATTATTTTTTTGTTTGTAGTACCAAACAAAATTAACTCAACAGCTTCTATTAATCCTTTTGATTCACCATATGAAGTTGGTAGTGATATTACTCTTAACTGCTCAATTAGTTACCACAAACCACCATACATTGATATTGACACTGTTGTCAATATTAGTTGGATCAATAATGAAGATGATATTCTTAACAATATTACTATAGCTATAGAAAATTACACTGAACATAATTTACAGTATTACATAACTAATTTTCACTTATCAGATGCTGGACAATACAAGTGTAGTAATACTCATCACACTCAACAAGAATATAAATTTATTCAAAGCAGTGAGAGTCAATACAAATACATTAACATTACTGCTATTAGTAAGTAATTTTTATAATGAAATGATTAATACTTGTTTGTTACTTTAGTTCCAATCAGCAGTACATCACTCGTGCTCAAATCTACAGAATCCTATTATGAAGCTGGTACTAAAGTCACTCTCTCTTGTAAAGTTACTGAGCCTGACTCACCACTGGTTAATGTTGATACTACTGTGAATATTAAATGGAGCCCTAATAAAAATATTCCACAATATTCTAATCACTCATACAGTAAATATTTCAATTATACTCTCAATAATATAAAGCTATCTGATGCTGGAGAATACAATTGTACATATTATCTCAATACTACCACTGATAATCCTTATATTATACCAAGTGATGTCAGGACAGGAGTCACTGATGTAACAATTAAAGTAAGTTATTATTTTTTCATTGC